AGGAAGATGAAGGAAGAAGAGAAAATGTCACATCGTCGTAATGTTGCTTCTCTTTCTCTTTTCTACAAATACTATAATGGGCACTGCTCTAAAGAGCTAGCGTCCCTTGTGCCATCTACTAAAATTCATTCTCGTGTTACTCGCCATTCAATTAAGTCTCATCCTTTTTCTGTGACTGTTCCTAAGTGCTTCAAAAACTCTTATTCTTCTAGTTTTTTTCCTCGAACATCAGTTCTTTGGAATTCGCTTCCTTCATCTTGCTTTCCTGATTCATATAATTTGCAATCTTTTAAGTCATCAGTCAATCGTTATCTTGCTCTACAGATTTAGTCTTTTCTCTTCCAGTAACTTCCAACTCTTATAGTGGTTGCTTGCAGCCTTGTTGGGAGTGAAGATTTAAAAAAAAAAAAAAAAAAAAAAATAATTAATAATATATTTACTATTTACAATTTTACACTCACAAGACACAAAGAGTTAAGGTATTTAATATATCAATCTTTTAATTTACCAATTTTATGAGAATCAGTTACTGGAGAGAAGAAAGTCAACACCAAAATTATAGAAATCTTCTTTAAATTTGAAAATCAAGAAAATTTATTTAAACAATATTTCAACTTAAATTGCCATTTATATTTTAATAACTAAAACAATGCCTCTATTTAGTAAACAAAATAAGCATACAGCTTTAACAGTGTTGCTTAGTCAGCAACTCAGCTGAAAAGTCTGTCTAGCTAGTGATCCTGTCTGAGATTATGTTTTGATTTATGTAAAAATTACACAGTCAGCAAAAAATTGAATCTGGGTTATTTCCATTTGCCATGATTGCATTGGTTGGTCAATAATCAAATATGATAGTATGAGAATTATTCTGGTATAAGTAATAATATTATGTAAAAATCAAGTGTAGCCAAACCTCAGCTGTTGAGTATCCAAAACTTTATCATCATTGAGCTGAAAAAAAAAAAATCAAGGCTGAAAAAATGTTTTCTGAAAAAAAAATTTCAGAAAACGTGACCGCGGCAATATTTCGTGGGAAAGCGGAACTTATCCACAGAGAATAAAAAATAATATTAAAAAAAAAGGAAACGAAGTCTAAACAAAGTATAAAATTGAAATTGGATGTTAGAAAAATATTTTGATAATAAAAAAAAAATTAAAAAAAAAAAAAATCTTGTAACAAAAAAAAAAAAAAAAGTCCTGAACATTTTTTTCAAAGTTTTTATACTGTTTTTGTTTTCTTTTTTTAGGATTGCTATTTTCAGCTACGAAATTTGATACAAGTCAAGGAAAAGACAACAATAAATCATAAAGTTTTCACGAAAATAAAAAGACTTGATACGTAATTTATTCCCTAACTTTATCAGACAATGTATTAAAAAACTGATTCATTATTTACGCTAGACAAATTTGATTAAATTTTTTCATTTAATTTAGTATTTACGAAGGTTTATGCAAAAGCGATGACGTTATTCCCCAATACTTAGACAAGAAAATAAATTGCTGTTTCAATTATTAAATATATTATTTGAGATTTTAAAGATAACAAAATTTTAATGTGAAAATAGTTCTTTCTCGACTTATTCTAAACTGATTATACTGAGTCAATGCTCACCTTTTATTACGTTGAAATTATTCAATTGCATAATTTTGTAATTACGAAAGAAGTTAAAAAAATAATCATCTGAGAATACCACCTGAAAAAAAAAAATGCCTGATAAGTTGCAAAAAAACTATGGTACTCTTTTGAAAATTTCAACTTGTTCATAGTTCTTGTGTAAATAACAAAACATTTTTATTAAATAGTAATTGATAAAAGTCTTAAAAAATCTTGTGTATTCATTTTAATGTTTTTAAATTTGTGTGACTTAAAATTGTTTTTTTTTTCAATCCTTGTATCCAATTCCAAAAGAACAGCCACCCTAAAAAAAATGAAAATAAAAAAAGTACACAAATTATTTAAATTAGTTTTTGCTTTTTTTTTATAAAAGTTATTTAAATTTCTTATTTTCTCATTTTTTCAGAGAAGTATAATATTATATAAAATTGTTAATAAAAACGCTTATTAAACGTATAATACAAAAGCTAATATAAATCCGTAAAGTATAATATAAACGTCTAATACAAAAAAACTTGCAAACGGCCGTGATCATGTTGTCTAACTTAAAAACGTTTTCGTGGTTGTACAAGACGAAAAATCGCACACATTTCCTGGGAAGGCTTGTATGTATGTCAATAAAAAAAAAGAATATCATTAACCTCTGAAATCTTTTTGGCTTCAATTAATGGAATTTAGTGACAATTCTAAAACTCCATTATAATTTTTCCACTACTGTGTGTGTGTATATATATATATATATATATATATATATATATATATATATATATATATATATATATATATATATATATATATATATATATATATATATATATATATATATATATATTAGGGTCGAGCTTATTTTTGAACTTTTGAAATATGATCTTCTTACCCTCTCATTTTGTTCCTATATATGAAAAAATAATATAGGCAAAATATGAGAACAATTAAACAATATTTAGGGGGCTATATATAGTAATGGGATTATTTTGTTATATAATAAAATCCATTTAAATCTGGTCTTTTTTAATTTTATGGTCATTTTAGGGCTAGACAAAAAAAGTTGCTAAAACTTACCCATAAATTCTGAAATATGTTAATTTGAACATGAGAGATAGGAAACAAAATAATAGAGTGCAAAAACATTACAAATATTTGCAATATATCTGATAATATGAATACGCTAATTTAATATTATTATTATTAGTCGAGTTATGTCATTTTCTAGGCTTTTCTATTTTAAGGTAGTTTCTAGGCTTTTCTATACGCGTTTTTTTTTTTAATTTTATTTACTAACAACGCGTTTTACGGGTTGCTTACTGCTAGTTTATTATGATTGTTATTTTCACATGTGCTAAAGTTTCTGGCCAGTTTATTATTATTATTATTTTCTATTAAACATCCAGTAATAAAATTACTGGTAAATTAATTTATATTAAAACAGTTACAAATAAAATTAAGGCCAGTCTTGTCTGTCCAAATATTTGTCTTTAATGCCAATAACTAGACCGACAAGACGGTTAGATCTATTTTAGAAATATTCTCCTCCATCATTGTTTTAAATTTTTCTCTTTGTTCTTTTAAGTTCCATAATTGGAACGTTTCTTTTAATATTGATATAGTATCAGCTTGCAGTTCTTCTTGAGGTAGTGTGAATTTAATTTTTTTACCTTCTATCATGCATTGAAAGATGTTCAAGCCACGAGTTTTACATATAACAGTCACTTCGTTTATAAATGATTTTTTATTTTGTGTTGCCAGTAATTGACTAATTATAAGCAAATAGCAAGTTTGATTTTTCATTAGCCTAATTAATAGGTTTAGTTTATTTTGAAGAAGAGTAGTTGAAATATCTTCTAGTTTAAAAAAAAAGAATGTAGGTAATTTTTTGCTATCTTTGAAATACAAAAAAATGATTTTGAAACTGCTCTTCCAACAGCGTCTATGTTTCTTAGAAAACTAATGTCATAGTTGCATAGCTCAAGGCCATATATAAGCTTTGGCACTGTCAAGGTATTGTATAAATGGACTATTGTTGACGGCTGACAAAAACGAATTCCACTGTCAATTAGAGCTATTGCAACCGATTGAAACTGTGTTATACTGTGTGTGTGTGTGTGTGTGTATATATATATATATATATATATATATATATACGTAACTCGACTAATAATAATAATATTAAATTAGCGTATTCATATTATCAGATATATTGCAAATATTTGTAATGTTTTTGCACTATATTATTTTGTTTCCTATATCTCATCCTAACATCTCATAATAATTAAAAACCATATGATTTTTTAAAAAATACATTAGTGTAAATGTCACTGGTCCGAATCTTTTACATACCACTGTGTATATATATATATATATATATATATATATATATATATATATATATATATATATATATATATATATATATATATATATATATATATATATATATATATATATATATATAGTATTGCATAAGCAATCTGACATCATACTTTTTTATCTTTTTTGTTTTATTTACTGACATTTTTATGTAATTACTAATTATGTCCTGTGTCTTTAATAACTACTGCCCAGTATCCATAATTAACCTGTTATTAATTATGTTGAGCAAAAATCTCAACCCAATTGAAAATATTTGGTCTTGGATTGACAATCAACTTACTTATTACCAAATACAATCAACTGAGCACTTAAAGCAACTTTTGAATGAGTACTGGTTGAAGGTACCTCGAGAGATGTGCATGAAATTAGTTGAATCGATGCAGAAACGAGTTTACCTTTGCTATAAAAACAAAGGCGGACATTTTAAATATTAACTTGGCATTTTATTTTCATTTTTTATTTATTTGTAAAATTTCGTTTAAACTTTTGTGCTACTCATTTTTCACATGTTTATGTTTGTAATTAACTTTTTTTAAATTTATATAAATCATTTCATAACATGTTCACATTTATTCTAAACCAAATTACTTTTTATTTAACAAATAAAAAAAATTAAGTTGACATCATTTTTATTTATTTTTTTATTAAGAAAAAAATAAACCTACTTGATCAAAATTACACTCTCGTTTAAACTTTCGTGAATAGCTGTATAAGTTTTTACTGTTTATAAAAAATATTTTATATTTCTTACTGTAATGGAATGAAGTTGATCTTGAAACTAATAAGAATTTTGTGTAGTTTAAGCTCTGTACTTACTAAATGTACCTTACATATAAGAAATATTTTGTTTGCAAATAATTTTACAAAAAATAAAAAGGTAACACCAAAAAATACCTGAAAATTTAGAATGAAAAAATAACTTAGTCTTTTAACATTTGATGTTATTAGTTGTTTTTTGAGAATTCTGATTCATGACCTGATATAAAAATACATATTTTTTTTATTCTATGCATAGATAATCTTGCAAGAATTTCTGGATTTGCCCTTGGAGTTGGGAGGTATATTCTTTATACTTTTTATTTACATGTTTGTTAGTGTTGTGATATATGATTGTATGAATTTTGTATTCATAATTAGTTTGTACATACAAGAAACTCTGGGCTACCCTTTTATTGTCTTAAGGAGACAATGTCAAGTAAGGCGATTTTTATTTTAATCAAATTTTATATGAGACTTTTAATTCATTGTAATTGAAATTTTAAATCAAAGGATCAAGTTTGACTATAAATTTTTTTTTATATAACCCCCTGAAAAATTGTAGTAAAAAAAAAAAAAATTAATAAGGAAAAAAAGTTTATTAACCGTAAACAGATTAACTTAATTATTCCAATAAATCAATTTACGTAATAAATTTTTTAAAAACTTTAGAGCTTGAGATGTTGTCAGCATAATTAAAAAACTATCAGCAATTTCCCATTTAATATATTTAATAAAGCGTTATGTTAAAACCATTTTGAAATGTTACCGTGTAGAAATCAGCAGTTCGAAATTTGTCAACTTTTAAATGTACTGCAACATTGATTAAATGAATTGCAACATTGATTAAATGTATCACAACATTGATTAAATATTTTGAAACAATAATTAAATGTATTGTAACATTGGTTAAATATTTTGCAATAATGATTAAATGTATTGCAACATTGGTTAAATGTATTGCAACATTGATTATATGTATTGCAACATTGATTAATGATTAGTTTAAATAACAGTACTTTAAAATCACCTAAGTTCTGTCACTCAAGCTTTGAACTGAGTATCTCAGGCATAAATTAACCATTTTTTCAATTTTTTTTCTGAATTTTACTGAAAAATATATCATTATACTCACATTAATTTGTAAAAACAAAATAATAAAAATAAAAACTCTCAAATGAGAACAGATAGTTTGTCCGCAATAACACTTTGCAATATCACAAATTTAACATCAAAATAATACATAGCAATAACATATTGCCATATAACATCAGAATAACACAAATTACAAATTTAACATCAAAACTTATGAAAATTAGTTTTCTAAAGTTATTTTAGATTAAAAATATGAAACAAAATCATTTAATTTTTTTTTTTTTTAATGTTTTTTTTTAAATAACAACTTTGATTAAAAAATTATTAAAATGCGAAATTTAAAAGTTATTTTTAACAAACTAATTTATTTAGATGACTCTTAAATATACTAATGTTATCGCTTCAGAGTTCATTAAAATATACTAATGTTAAATTTTATCAATACTTTCAGAATTCGTTTAAATATACTATATTAATTTTAATGTTAAATTTTATTATTACTTTCAGAGTTCACTTAAATATACTAATTTTGCTTATTTAAAGTTTTCATAATATGCACAATTTTGAAAATTTTATTTGCAAACAAATTATTTAAATGTAGTGCAATTAAATATTTTTCTATAATTGGTTCACATAAAGTTTTTGCTTATTGTTGTTATTATCGTTTAGTGATGCGCTGCAAATAATCTGTAAGTGACTGAAGTTATGGTATTTAAAAAATTCATTGTTTTTTTTTTGAAAAAAAGTACTTAATAATTTTCAAATGTTACTAACTTGGTTACACTTAATATTACTCGTACTAAATTTGATCATTTTGTTTAATACTTTTCTTATTTTAAATTTCGATCATATGCGTAATTTAAAAACTCTTATTTTGCAATTGTTTCAGCAGATTTCAAACAAACATCATTTTTTTATGATTCTTCTCCAATAACATTTTTTGACACTTCATATACATGAAGTGTCAAAAAATGTTATTGGAGAAAAAAAAGTTTGTAAAAATTGAAATGCGTTTACTTTTTTGTTATTTATTCCTAAATGACCAAAGTTGCATGGCAACCAAAGTTAGGTAATTTAAGGTATATGAAAATATAAGTAATAGTAATATAAGGTATAGAAAAAGTCCAAATCAAAGTAACAAAATCATTACTTGTAATAAATTTATATAAATCTTTTTCATTAATTATTTCAGTTTTATGTACTTTCAGCATTTTTACCAACTTTTAGCTCTACTAAATTTGTACAAAAATTCTGCTGGAATGATTTAGACAGCAGAACCAAAACTTGTCAGCCTTTTTTGACATTTTTTTGCCAAACAAATTAAAAATAATTTTTTTTTTTTTCTTTTTTATCTTTTTTGTTTTATTTACTGACATTTTTATGTAATTACTAATTATGTCCTGTGTCTTTAATAACTACTGCCCAGTATCCATAATTAACCTGTTATTAATTATGTTGAGCAAAAAAATTGCCGAAGGTTCATTTTTGCTTTACATTTTGTTATAAGCTGCAATAACACTATGTAACACAATTTTTATTCCTGGCTTCTAAATGTTATATTTTATTTGCTTATGTCTAAAGTATGTGAAAAAATGACTTCATTAAATGCAAAGTTTGCTTACATGACAACAGCCCAAAGAAAATTTATTTTTTTATGAAAATAGAACGTTATTTTTCATTTTTGTCATTATGATCAGGTAAAAACAAAAATTGCACAACAAATAGATAAACACAGTCAGAAAACCACTCAACAATGTTCAGAAATCTTAAGATTTTCTAGATTTACAATTGTACTCTTTCAAAGTAGCCCCCATCATTTTAATGTAATCCCCCATCATTTTTTCGTTATACTGTCCTTGGTAACAATATACAAAATCCAATCAATCTTGATGAAAACACTTGTCTTGTTTCTTGGAGTAAGCACCCATGTTCTCCTTGAATTTGTAGAAATGCAAATCAAGGATATGAACTTTCAAAGACATTCTGCATCCCATTTTGATTCTTTATGAGAGTCTGCACCAATTCCACATAGTTTTCAGCTTTGTGATTACCTAGAAAGCCCTGATTTAATACAACGAAACTGCTCCAATCTGCTCTTTTTGTCCTGTTCAACAGCTTTGCAAAATCCTCACATTCTTTAATCTTCTTGATCTTGATTAGTCTGACTAATATACTAGCCCTGACCTTGGACAGCTTTGGAAATAGATCTTGGAGGTATTAAAATGCTACTGACTCCTTGTCAAGAGCAGTGATAAATTGCTTAATGAGGCCTAACTTGATGTGCAGTGGTGGCATAAGCACTTTATGAGGTTCTATCTGCGGCTCCCACTTTATATTGCTCTTCCTAACAGAAAACTTGGTCCATTGTGGCCAGTCTTTTGTGCAATAATGCGCCTTAGTGTCATAGCTGTCCTAGACAGGAAGCAAGGAAATTTTGTGAAACCTCCCTGAAGACCCTTGAAGAATGATACCTTTTTGAAGTCATCAATGATCTCCCATCCATAGTTGTCATACTTTAATGCACTCAGCAACATTTTGACACTGGTGTAGTCTTGGAGATGTTGTTTCCATTGTGAAGCAACATGATTTTGAGGGTCTGGGATGAACTGTCTATGAAGAGGCGTCATTCAATAGTATTACATACGATACCTATAGCCTGGAATAGACTGGCAACATTGTTGCCGAAGCACAGCCCAACACGCTGACTGAAGATGTTGGATAATCTTCGATGCCACTTTCTCTGATCCGTGACTTGTATGTTATCATCAACAAAGTTCCACTGTTTGAGCCTGAATATCAGAAACTCAATCCTTAATTAAATTCTTCATGTCTTTCTTGTTAGGGAAGTACAGCTTTCTATCTCCAACTTCATCTGCGGAATTGTAGTCCATATCTCTATTATCTGCCTTGCTATCTGACTTGCTGCTATCTTTTGAAGATGGTCGAAGCTGCCTAGGGGGAATCGGAATAGGCAGATTGGGGCTGTGTGGTACTGGGGCAATGAAAAAATGTATGTCCGGATAAACTATTTGAGGAGCATTTTTACTAGTGCAACCGTTTTTTGGGTTTACTATGCAGAAGTAGCAGTTGCTTAGGTGGTTTGTCGACCGAATTTGGGGGATTGGAAACTTCATGGCTTGCTTCTCTCCTCTGTACCAACCTGTAACACAACACATAATAATACATAAGAATTATAGTAATTTGAAGACAGGAAATTTCAAAATATGGAACGATTTCAAGATGGAACCTATTTGCCTACAGTACACAACTTATGAAAAAATTTTGTAAATTGCAACTCCTTGAAATGATCTATTTCAAAATATGGAATGATTTCAAGATGGAACCTATTTGCCTACAGTAGACACAATTTATGAAAAAGTTTTGTAAATTGCAACTCCTCATAGATCATTTCAAGGAGTTGCAATTTACAAAATTTTTTCATAAGTTGTGTACTGTAGGCAAATACTAGATCTAAAGTATTAAAATTTTATGAAAATAAATTAAAATATATCTAAGCGAGAAACAACTGTTCAGTTTACCTTCAAGTGTTTTCTTGCAATATTCGCATGTGAAATGTGGTGCCTAAGACTTGTATTGGTCCCCGACTGGCACACCAAAGTAGGCCTTCCACATTATACGACTTGCTTCCACAGAATACTTTTTTGCTCTTGTCTTTATGAATTGTCTGCACATGTAGCAGAATGAATCAGCTGGATGCAAAGAATCTCTTAATGCCTTATCAAATAAATAACTTCACTTCAAATATGAATCATTATCCTTTCAGTCTGCAATAAGAATCTTGGTTCGAGTGTGTAATAACCTGTGCTTTTATACTTGTACAGCTACTTTTGGAATGTTCGAGAAAGTTCTGAGAGTTTTTCGAAAATTCTTTTAAATTTCTTGAACACTCTAGAGTGTTTAGGAGAATTGTAGAAACATCTAGACAACTCTAGCAGTTCAGAAATATTATAAGAGGTAGCACGGCATTCATTCAAGAATTTTCTTGAAAACACACAATTTTCCAAATTTTATTGTCCCGGTCACAGAAACAAAGTTTTTCTGGAATAACAGCGATTTAACAGCAAAACACACTTTCAACCCAGAAATGGAACAAAAGAGAAAATTTGTTACAATAAATAATTTGTTGCATTAATTCTTTCTTCAGTTTTGCACTTTTTTATTTACATCTTTTTTTTTAAAATACCTTTTAATAAACGTTTTTGTATTTTTATTTATAAGTTATTTAATTATAAATAATCTAACTATTTAATTATAAATAGTCTAATTAAATACAAATAAAATAAAAACGAGTTAATGTTTGCAGATTGAAATATTTTTATATCTACTTTGATATTTAGTTAAACAATAGAAGTATTCGATACCACATCCTTCCATTTTCTCTGTTTCCAGTTTTAACTAAAATTCACCAAAAGCAAGTAAGTTTTTTAATTTTAAGATAAAATTTTACCAATAATAATATAAAAGCACATTTACTGACTCTAATTGCAATAGATTTTGTTATTTTTTTTTGCATTTAAATTATATATATATATATATATATATATATATATATATATATATATATATATATATATATATATATATGTATGTATGTATGTATGTATCAGGGTGTAAACTAGCTCTCTGGGGCCTTGTCAAACGCAGTATTCCCAAATGCTTATAAAATTAAAATTCCTAATTTAAAAGTGAAAAAATCCCATTCTCAGTAACATTTAATAATAGTTCTAAAATTTATTGAAAATTAATTACTATTAAAAACTAATAGAAAAATAACATAAAAAATTATAATTTATTGTTTAAAACTTGAAATAACTTTGCGGCTATTAGTATAACTACGCGCTTGCAAAACTGCAAAAATGTCTCTTGGAAAAAAACTTTTTGAGAATTGGGATTTTCCGAAAATCTTTAAAATCGCTTGGAAAAAAAATTCCTTTTTCAAAGTTTGCAAATAATTTTTGGCTGAAAAGTTGAATAAGTTAAATGATTTTTGATTATAACAAACTAATTCTAGAAATTTATTTAATAAGAAAAATAAATTTCTTTACTTTAGTTAAAACATAAATTAAATATGTATATCAGGCTTTCCCAGGAAAGGCGTGCGGTCGCCTTGTTTGTCCACGCATAGAATAAATTTTTCTGACTAACTGACCACGTTTTATTATTACGCGCTTCAAGAATTTGCGCCAAAACAAAGCTAAACGAAAATACCGCAAAAATGCTAGTAATCTTAAAGTAAATAAAAGAAATCTGTTTGTGCTTTCAAATTTAAAAATTAATGTATATTATTAAAAAAAAAATTTACCTATATTTTATTTATTTTTTTGTTTTTGTTTTTTAGGGCGGTAGTTATTTTAGCTATGAAAAATCAAATCAATAAAAAAAATAAAATCAATAAGAAAAATCAAATCAAAAAGAAAAAGATTATTGTTTAATGAAAATAAAAGGACCTTTTAATGTAAAATTTGTTTATGACTTTTATCAGTTAGTAATACTTTAAAATTCACGATAGAACTTTAATTAATTTTTGAATGTTTCGTAAATACATTTAAATGTTTAAATGTATTGATACGCAAGAAAGCGCGAAAACGATTGCTATTTATTTGTAAAATATGTTTTTTTTCAATTTTCAAATGAAAGAAAATTTTATTGTCAAACGACTGGGTTGTTTATTTTGCAATAATTATTTGACATTGTGAACAAGTGTTAATATATATTAATGTCCCGAAGGAACTGTTTTCGTAACAATAACAACAGAAGCAATGCAATTATTTTTTTAACTTCTTAATTTAAATCTTAAATAATATATTTAATAATTGAAACAGCAATTTATTTTCTTGTCTAAGTATTGGGGAATAACGTCATCGCTTTTGCATAAACCTTCGTAAATACTAAATTAAATGAAAAAATTTAATCAAATTTGTCTAGCATAAATAATGAATCAGTTTTTTAATACATTGTCTGATAAAGTTAGGGAATAAATTACGTATCAAGTCTTTTTATTTTTGTGAAAACTTTATGATTTATTGTCGTCTTTTCCTTGACTTGTATCAAATTTCGTAGCTGAAAATAGCAACCCTAAAAAAAGAAAACAAAAACAGTATAAAAACTTTGAAAAAAATGTTCAGGACTTTTTTTTTTTTGTTACAAGATTTTTTTTTTTTTTTAAATTTTTTTTTTATTATCAAAATATTTTTCTTACATCCAATTTCAATTTTATACTTTGTTTAGACTTCGTTTCCTTTTTTTTTAATATTATTTTTTATTCTCTGTGGATAAATTTCGCTTTCCCACGAAATATTGCAGCGGTCACGATTTCTGAAAAATTTATTCTATGCGTGGACAAACAAGGCGTGCGACCGCACGCCTTTCCTGGGAAAGCCTGGTATATTAAAATGTAAATTAAATACCTTTAATAACAAGAATGTTTTTTTTTATTACAACAAACTGGTACTAGAAATTTAAAAAACAAGAAAACTAAATTCACTGCTTGCTTGAATTTAAAACATAAAAGCAAATTTTAATGTTTCAATGAACCATAGCCATAATAACATTTTATGACAATGCATGAAAAAATAATTATTAGTATTCTTTGTTGCCACGATAGCATGCAATCGCTTGCGATCTTTAGTAATTCTTTTGGAATTAAACGACTTTTGTTGTTGTTTTTCCTGAGACTTTGTAATTGTAACTTTATTTCGCTTCATAATTTATGTATAAATAAAATTAATATTAATTCAGTGCTGGATCAAGGGGGGCTAGGGCCACCTTTGATACGGGCACTGATACCCCTGGGCCCCGCAAATTTAGGGGCCCCCAAAAATTTTAGAGGACCTTTTTTTTTTTTAATAGTCTTTTTTAGGCTCTGGCCCATAAAAAGGCCTCTAAAAACAAAAATAGCCCCAGGCCCCAAGAAGTCCTTATCCGCCTCTGTATTAATTAAAAAATTAAACTCGCAATAAATGTGAAATATGAAGTTTACAAGCTTGTGTGTACTTTTTTTGAAACCTTTTTTATTTTTCTATTTTTAAAACATTTCTTTTGATGATGCAATTTATTTCAAAATGATGTATAGGTTTGTCCATAAAGTCAAACAGAACTTGAATATTAATTAGAAGTAGAAGATCATTAGCCCTCTTCTGCGGAAATTTTCATTGAACATAAATCCTTATATTACTTTAAAAATTGCTAATTTAATGCCCACCAGTGAAAAATATATATATAGATATATATTCTTAAGAATACTCTTAAAATGAAAGTGGCAACGATATATTAAGATTAAAATAAATCAAATATATTATTCTTAATAAATAATTAATTAATACATAATAATTATTTTATAATGTAAAAATATATAATTTTACGCTAAACTTTTTATCTAAATATTTAGTAACATGAAAAAAATTTGTCAATCCTTAACTACATATTGGTTGCAGATGTTTTTAATTAAAATTCAGTAAAAAAACTCTATAAAAATTTATATTACGATAAACATTTATATTTTGTATACATATTACAATAAACATTTATATTCTGTATACACTATTACAATATCTGTATACACTATTACAATAAACATTTATATTCTGTATCTCTGATAACAAAAATGTTAAGACTTTTTTTTGAGATAATGAAAAAAATGTGCCAATGAATGAACAATTTATTTTTATTGTACTAAAAATTACTTCTTCATTAATTATTACTCTTTGCCTTTCTTATTAGTTAAAGGTATATAGATACCTTTAACTTTAAGATATACGGGGATAGGTGGGCCGGCAAAGAAGAAAAAAAATTACCTGTTACTCAGAATTTTTGAATGAAGACAATTTGCTAAATTTTTTCTGCATCCGATTCTATAAATTTTTTTTCAGAAATCAAGTTATATTATAAAGTTAAAGAAATCATGAGTAGACTATTACATCCACTGATGACACATTAATGACAGTCTCTATTCTTTACTAATGACTATGTATTTTTCTTTATAAAATAAGACAAACTTGTATATAAAAATCTAGTATATTTCTATTCTCTCCAAATTGTTTAAAGTTCAAATATGGATTGTGTTTTGATGGAGATACTTTGAAAACTTTTAAATCCTGGGACTTTGCCGATGCTTTTCAAATTGAAACTATGACAGAAAAAGAGAAGACTTTGTTATTAAAATCATATATAATTTGTGTGATCTTCATCAAAATAAAATTTTATCCAAAACCAATGGTGCTGTACAGGCAGCTGCCTTACGGTTTCTAAATGGCACAAGTCATGTTAAAATATTTTAAAATGTTGGTATATTTTATTTAAGTTGGTATATAAATAAAATTGCATATCATTTAATAAGTAAATGAAATTTTTCTTAATAAAGATTGCCTCATATTTATTCTCCTTTTTTTAATTTTATTACTCTAAATTAAATACGAAAAAAAAAGAGTTTCGTAATTATACATAAAATGAAAATACTTTTGAGTTTGTTTATAAGTTAAGGAACTTAATTTGTAATGAACAATTTTTTACGCATTTTTATTATAAACAGATATGATTCAAATGATTAAATATACTTATATTCTTTTAGTTAAGTATTTTTTTTAAGTTTGCACAATTAAAATATTGCATATATGTATTTAAAAAGTTTTTTGTTTTGAGAATAATTAACAAAAGAGTTTGCATAATTAAGACTTATATTTAATTTTTTTGTTTACTGAAATTCAAAAAAAAATAAAATAATTTAAGAATTTAATTGTTAAAAATGATTCTTTTCTATAGCTCTGTGTTTCTTTGTGATTTGTTTAAATGTAAAACATTTATGCATTAAATTCATGGCAAACACATTCTATCTGTGTATCAAAAATATGCTCAAAACAGACATTAAACTTTTTTATATTTTTATATAACGCAAGTAAAAATGCTAAGCAATATAAATTGAAAAAATATATTTAAAGACCTAAATTATTCTTTGCTAGTCAAAATGAAATCGCTGTTTAAGTAATTAACAAGGGTTTTTGTTTATCAATATGTTAATATTCTTTGTTTACTTCCAAAATTTTTAAAAATAAAAAATCATTCTTTTTTTATATTCAATAATGCAATTACAAATTTCAGAAATAATGAAAAAATATATATAAATATATTTTACTATATAATATTGAACTAAAATTAATATTAAAAGAAAAATTTAAAACCTAACAAACTTTTCATAATATATTTACATTTACAACATTTATACATTGTTTTAGTTACTTGAGTTAATTGTTAAATTGAACTAGTTTGCGGTTATATATATCAGGGTTGGTCAGGAAGCAGGAGCGATCGCTCTTGATTGCTGAACACGGAAATAATATTTAGTTGCAAAAGCTGGCTAGACTTTATAGTCATTTTGAGAACATTCCATAAAGCAAAAAAAAAATGCGCAAAAGATTAATTG